TTTCTTTCTTTCTTTCTTTCTTTCTTTCTTTCTTTCTTTCTTTCTTTTTTTTTGCCTTCCCTTGTCCCCCAAGCATTGAGACAGCCCCTTCTTTCTACCACCCTAAAAGCATTTCATGTTACCTCAGGCTCCTGTTCTGTCCTGAGCACACCTGAGAAAGAAGAGTACACACCATACAAGAGCAGAGAGGAAGTAAGACACCGCACATAGCAGTGGAGGGCATGGCGCTGGTCAGAGGGCAGGGCAGAGCAAGCCCTGCCTTCCAGTTGATTTGAAAGTCCATGTCATCATTTTGTTCTAATCAGTCCTCAGAGGCAGAGGTACAGGGGGAGAGGGGCACAGTGGGGCGGTGAGAGCCACAGACGGGGTTCCGTGGCTCTGCTTGTCACACCGTTGCCAGCCTTGGCGAAGTATTGTTATTTTAGGGTCAGTGGTCTGCGGCCTTTACGGGCAGTCAGATAACTTCCCATGCTAATGTTCAAGGCAGCTGTGTCCACCTGGGGCTGTTTTGACTGCTCCATCCCCTTAAGTGCAGGCAAAGGGTCTATTCTGTGTGAAGATTAAATTCTAGCAGCGAGGCTTTGCTTCTGTAGAGATATTTATATTTGGAATAATGGAATTACTGGCTTTATCCCCCCCACAAAGTCATTAAGGAGTGGTATTTGTATTCTCTGTTATCCTAGATTATCCTTGATGCAGTCCCAGGAAAAATCCTTACATCACTCATTTGCTTGGGTTGATTCTGTTGGCGATAAGTGCTGCGGCTTCACGGGGTTTAGAGGAGGATCAGTGCCCTGACACTCTTAAAAGGATACGGGCAGCTGGGGAGATGGCGCCATGCTTCCATGCACTAACTGATCTCACAGAGGAGCCACGTTTGGTTCTAAAGCACCCATATCAGGGGGCTTCCAACTACTCATAATTTCAGCTCCACCCTTGTCAGGCCTCCAAGGGCACTGTTTTCATGTGTGTGCACACGTTACACACACACACACACACACACACACACACACACACACACACTAACAATCTCGATAAAGGTTGTAGGTAAGGAGCTGGCTTTAAGGAGGTGGCTCTCCTGGTGTGGTGACAGAGAGGAGAGAGTATGCCAGTGGAAGAACATTCCGGAGTCTGCAATGAGATGACAACTGAACGTTTGTGTAGATAGCTTTCTACTGATCCCCAGTCCTGCACAGCTACTAAGAACATCTTACCTATGGAACATAGCCAGCAGGATGGTGGAAGGTGAGGGGAACAGGTATCCTTTTAAACAGAAGGATATTTTTCACTCTTTTCCCATGTGAGGATACTATGCATCTTTTTTTTTCTCAATTCTCTTTTCCCTTTCCTTTCTTCCCTTTCCTCTCCTCTTGCCCCTCTTCTTCTATCTTGCCTCTTACTTCTCCTCCCCTTTCTCCTTCTCTCCTCCCTTTCCCTCTTCTTTTCCCTCCCTCCCTCCCTCCCTCCCTTCCTTCCTTCCTTCCTTCCTTCCTTCCTTCCTTCCTTCTTCTCTCTCTGTTTCTTTTTTTCTTTTTCGTGGTTCTAGATAGTGAACCCAGTGTTTGTGCACCCCAGGCTAGTGCTGTACCATGGAGCTGCGTCCCAACCCTTTTGTGTATGTTAAGGCTAATGCCAGAATTACATATTCACAATTTTCCCCCAATTTTGAATACAATTTAAAATCATTTTAAAAATTTGTTTTGTGAGAATTTAGTCTAGAGACATAACAGTAGCACACCTGACTCCGTTTTTGGTGATTACTTCATGGAGAACAAGGAAGGATTCTATTTGGAAAGTCCTCACTTGTGCCTATTCCTTAACGTGCTTTTTCCTCCTATAGTTTCAGACTTCAGACTCTAAGTGTTACATAAGATCCATGTGGAGTTGGTTTTTGGACACGAGATAAGAGATCCAGTTTCATCCTTTCCATATGGAAATACATCCCCAACGCCTTTTCTTGAAGAGGCTGCCATTTCTCCAATGTGTATTAGAGTATTTTTGTCAAAATGCATGTACCTATAATTGTATTGGCTTATTTCTTAGTTCACTATTCTATTTCATTGTTACATGTCAGTTTTTGTGCCAATATGAGTTTTGATAATGCGAGTCTTAGTATAACTAAATACGGGGAGGTTCCTCCAGCATTTTTGCTCAGGATTGCCTTGGCTATCCTGGATCTTTTGTGTTTCCTACTCTGATGGATAGCACTGACAATTTGATGGGTATCACAGAGAGTTTGTGAATCCATAGGATGCTTTTTGGAAGCATAGCTATTTTCACAATATTAATTCTTTCAACCCATGAACATCTTTTGGGCTTCTGGCATTTTCCTCAGTTTCCTTCTTCATTGTTCTAACATAATCATCGAAGATGTTTTTCACTTCCTTGATCATAATTGTGTTTGGGATTATTTTGTTTCTCAGCCTGTTAGTTGTTTGTATGTAGAAAGGTCACATGCTTTTATATGCTGATTTTGTATCCTAACTCTTTGATTTAGTCATTCATCAGCTCTAATAATTTGCTGGTGGACCATCAGTGTTTCATATACAGAACCATAAATATTTTCCTTTTATTTTCTTCTGCTTCCTTGACTTAGCTAAGACTTGAAACACAGTATTGAATAGGGGAAGGCGGTGGGTACTCTTGCCCTTTTTCATTTAGTTGACATGCTTTGAGCTCTTCTCCACTAGTACACTTTTGTCTGTAGTTTGTCGTGAGTGGCTTTATTATATCGAGTGATAGGTGTTCCTTCTATTTTCAGTCTCTTCAGGGTTTTGTGATGAGCAGGTAATGAATTTTGTTGAAGCCCCTCTCTGTTTCTATTAGGTTACCGTGTGAGTTCTGTTTTTAACTGTGTCCATGTGATTTATAACATTTATCGCTCTGTGTATGTGGAGCCAGCTTTGCATTTCTGGAATGAAGCCAACTTGATTGTGGTCAGCAAATGAGATTCTGTCTGTGTTTTTAAGCTTACTTTGCAAGTATTTTACTGATAATTTTTTTTTTTCCCCAGAGAGATTGGCTTAATTTTTTTTTTCTTTTTTGGTACATCTTTATTCAGTTTTGGTGTCAGGGTAATACTGACTCATAAAAACAGTTTGGCTTCATTCCTTATGTTTTCCTTTTGTACAATAGTTTCAGAAGCACTGATGTTAGCTCTTATTTAAATATCTGTTATAATTCAGAAGTGATTTTGTCTGGACATCTTATAGTTGAGTTTTATCATCATCATCATCATCATCATCATCATCATCATCATTAATTCAGTCTCATCACTTGTTGCAAATCTGTGTATGAATTGTTTTGTGACCCTGAGACCAGCTCTGCTGCCTGCCATAGGTGATGAAAGGCAGGGGATGGGAGGAGGACATAACCCTTCATCTGGCTGTCCTGTGCTTATGCCCTTGGTCGGCTCACCTGCAACCCCCACGTCTAGGTCCAGCTCTGCTGTGCTGCCCAGGCTAGGGACAGGACCCACTCTCCCGAGTGCTGCAGCAGGTGAGGGGCAGGGACAGCTCTCCTGCTCTCCTTATCTTCCATAGGTGACAAGGGGTGACCATGCTACTGCATGGCAGAAACTTTACAGGGCCAGCTGTCGCCTAAAACTGAGGTGAGGGGCGGAACCAGCTCTGCATAGCCGTCAGACATCAACATGTCCTCAGGCAGCTGAGACCAGGAACATCTGCTTGGACCTTGTTGGTCATAGACCTCTGCTGCCGCAGGGCCACAGACCCAGACAAGTCCCCTAGTGGCAGCACCGGCCAGGACCCCACCATGGTCTCAGGTGGTATCACCAGTCACTGACATCAGGCTGTTCCTCACTACCCTAGAGTCTCCAGTTCTGCCTCTCTTCATTGTGCCCACATCCTTCTGTGCCTCTTTTTCTCCTATTTCTCCACCACTTGCTTGCTCCTCTTAGTGTCTTGGGTCCTCTCAGAAGTGGTCTCAGGACAGCTGTGCCCCGATCATGCCTTATGGTACGGGGCAGGGGTCATCTCAGGCATGTTCTGCTTCTCCAGGCTTATGTGATGCCTGACTAATGGTCATCTAGGCTAGCTCCCTGTCTTGGTCCCATGGCGCTGGTCTGTTGGTCATCTCTGGCTCCCTCCTTTTGGCCCCATGGGACAGTCCTCTCTCTCGGGCTCTCTCCCGCTCAGGGCCCTTGGTCCCAGTTGGTTTTTGTTTTTAGTCTCCGGCTTCCTCCCTGCCCTTGGAGCCTGTCCAGGCCTATACAGTACTGGATGGGTGGTTGCCTCAGGCTTGCTTTTTTTCAGGGAATGTTAGGATAGTAATCATTCAGATGTTCATGGTCAGAACACTGAGCGTAGACACAGCCTCTCTCGTCTCTACCACCTACTGACGCTCATGTGACACAGCAGCCGCACGTGCAAAGCCTATAGGGTCTTTTTTTCATAGATTCTCCCCCCCCCCCATGTTCATATGATTAGTTTCTACCTTGATCTTAGTTATTTCTGGCTACTGACTTCGTGTTTGTCTTGTTTTGTTTCTTCAAGCCTCTAAGGAGCATCCTTACTTATTTGAGATCACTTTGAATTTTTAATGGAATCACTGGTAGCTGTTAACTTCCCTCTTAGGATTGTTTTAATTGTACCCTGTAGGTTCTGATATGTTTTGTTTTCGTGTTCACTTAATTCTAGGAACTTTAAAGTTTACTTCTCTATTTCTTCTATGACCCATCCACCTGGAATATATATATATAATATATTATATATATATAATATACTGTTAAGAGCCAGCCCTAGCACTGCTTCAAAAGTTAGCATGTTTTAACTATAGCTCCTTTACTAAGCAAGACTGAGATTACATGCTATTTGTGGACAGTCTTGCCACTTTGCCAAACAGTGGTAGGCTAAGGCATCCATGTACGCTGGAATGATTTATTCCTTTTACAGGTAATATTATTCTATATTCACAACTTTTACGTAGTTAGACTCATAGTTTTACATCTTATTTTCAGGTTTCAATGAAAGAAAGAGCTGTCACAACGGGATAAAGGGCAGAGTTTATGGTGGAGCCAAACGTGAGTGAGCATGGCTCAGGAACATAGATTTAGGTTATCCCGAGAGCCCTGCTCCAGCGAGGTTGGAGCTCTTGAACTTTATAGGGAAATGACAAAGAAAACAATAAACCTAAATAAGACACTTTTCAGATACGCTGGTGTGTACATCTAGTATGGCGGTTAGAGAAAGGCTGGCTCAAACAGTACTGTCCTACTGGCCTTGGATATTGTCTGACAACATTCTTAGCCTTTTGATTGGTGGAAAACTAGATATTTTTGAAGTTATATATTATAAAGTTGTTTTTTTTTTTTTTTTTGGTTTGTTTTTATCTGTCAGGATTTTGGGTCTGGCTAGACACAGGATGTTAGGTGAGTTACAGATGGGGTCACAGAATGGCTCTTCAGTAATTAGACTCTTGAACGGCAACATTCCAACCTGTCACTGAGGTTTTAATCACTCACGCAGCATTCGTGGACACAGCTTCTTTCCAGGGATTCTCATTCCTGCAGGCTTTGTGTTCTGGCTCTGTCATTTGTGGTACCTCTATTCCTTGCTGCTCTGAAGTAGCCGGACATCGGCCTGTCTGATTCTTGGCAAATCATGAGCAGTGTTTGCACAAGAAAAGCTACCATCACAGTGCTAGAGGAGGCTGTTTCAGTGCCATGCTGGGCCGGTTAAACATAAAAATCAGTCAGGAGTCCAGCGGTGGCCAAGTTTATAGTGTTTTTCAGTAAAATACCACTCACTGTCTGCCCATCATTTGAAAGAGGGTCTTTAACTGTTGAATGTACAGAACATGGTTTCAGAATAAATCACAGACCTGAACAGATTGTGCAGGTTAAGCGTTTCTTTCTCTAAATCCCTCCAAGCTTATTGCTACTAGACCATATCCTCCTCTCCTTCAAGCATAACAGTTAAGAACCCCTTGGTTCTTAAGTATTGACTTTCAAAGCTGTCATATTCATACGGAATAATTAAGAAAAATCCCCTTCTCATGCTAACATGTGGAGTTATTTTTGTTTCCACCATTTTTTGATTTAAAGTATTTATTTTAATTACTTTTTGGCATTGGATAGAACATATTTAATAATAATATTCATGATGCCACTATTAAAAATTAATGTCAGCATAAAGGTTAGTATTAGTGTGGTAAAAATGTAAATGGAAACATAAAAACATTAGTGGAATGCATGAATGTACAGTTTTATAATTGCGGACCCAGAAGACTATACTAAATACGTGTGAAAGATATGTCAAGCATAAAAGACATATTTAACCATGTGATAGTCAAGAAACTTAACAAGAGTTTTCATGAACAAAGCAAACGATAAACACAGCCTGAAGGAAAATAAGACAGCGCATAATGTGTGGTTAATTTTCTTCCCTTATAACGACACAGATAAGTCAGCGAGGCACTCTTAACCCATAGCAGCAGGCAAACAAAGGAGTCATTTAAAAGGAGTCAGCGTGTCATTCAGTTAACTGCTGCTGTCTGAAGTATTCTCACTTCAGATACGGGTGAAGACTGGGGTAATAATGTTGAGGAGGGGAGGGTTCTTATGTATCATTACAGGAAGGTAGAAGCTGGTAATCTTTTTGGAAGAGAGCTATGGCAATGGTCATAAAAATTTTTGCAATACTTTATTTATTCTTTGAAAATCTATATAGCATATTTTGATGATATTCATCCCTCCCCGACTCCTCCCTGATTCTCTTTTTTAAATGTCTAGAATATCTTTTATTGGATCAGTTCTTTGACTGACCCTTAGAATTTTCTGACTGTGTCATTTATTAATTTTGCGTTGATTGTTTCAGACATGTGTAGAGTGCATCCTAGCTATTTTTCCGTCACCCTGTTTTATTTTCCTCCTGCTCCTGTCACCCCATGTCTTTCCTACAGATCTCTTTACTATACTTATGACTTCTTGTTTTACTTTATTATCTATTGAGCTTAACGAGGGCCATCTGTATGACTCTGAGCTTAGAACTCTTCATTGGCTGGTGGCCTCACTAGTGGATGGATATGCAATTGAAGACAATGCCCACCTCTTCCCAGAGTGTCAGTAGCCATTAGTAGTAATGGGTAAGGCTTCATAAGGTCCTTCGTCATCTATGGCTGACAGTTGGCAGGACCAGTCTGGGGCAGAACCTGGTGTGATGAGTTCATGTTACAGTATCTGTGCTATACCTAGAAGGTGGAATTTCATAGCCCTTCGGCTCTTACATTCTGCATCCTCTTTGATGTTCCTTGAACATTAAAGGGGGTGCTTTAAATGTCTTATTTAGGGCTGAACCCCCAACTCCAAGATGCTGTTTTCAACATCTTGGGCAGCTATGGGTCCCTGTATTCATCACCATTCTCTTTGTAGAGAGCCATCTCTAATTAGGGCCGAGAACATCATGTGTCTGGCTTTAAACACAGAAATTTAGGAGACAGTGTGTCTACCTCCTTAGGCATGGGGTTTGGGGCAGGTCTGTGGTACTAGGCATGGATTCCCTCCTGTGGGGCAGGGTACTTGGTTACTTTCGAAACATATCACATAGGACGGTGCATTCTATCTGACACATTAGTATTAGAATGTATAGGGTTCACAGTTGCCTACAACCATTCGTGCCCTTTTCTTCCCCCAAGTGCGAATTCTGAAGGCTAAGTAGCTCAGTCCCAGTCTGATTTATCTACATCTTTCTCCATTTCTTTCCTTCCTTCCTTCCTTCCTTCCTTCCTTCCTTCCTTCCTTCCTTCCTTCCTTCCTTCCTTCCTTCCTTCC